CACCTTTCCACCTTCCCTTTACCTGGATTCCTACCTGGATCCTGCCAGTTTGTCATTCCCTGCATTCCCTCCCTTTCCTGCCTCTGGGATGGGCCCTGTATCCCTCCCCTTACCTGGATCCTACAGCTTTTGTCGTCCCTGAAGTTCCCTTCCTTTCCTGCCTCTGGGCTAGGTTCTGTCTACCTATCCTTACCTGGATCCCGTGGCTTTTGTTGTGCTCAGCATTCCCTCCTTTTCCTGCCTCTGGGGCATCAGATTGCCATCAAGCAAATGGCAAGCAAAAAAGAGCAGGAGTGGAAATATTAATTTGTGATAAAATTGACTTTAAGACAATAAACACCAAAAGAGCAAGAAAGGAGATTGTATAATGATTAAAGGATTACTTGAATTAAGGATATAACTGTAATAAGTATCTATGCACCCAGTGAAAGAGACCCAAAATACATAAAGCAGACTTTAACAGAATTGGAAAGACAAATAGATGATTCTACAGTCATAGTAGGAGACTTTAGTACACCACTTTCAATAAAAGATAGAACTGAACAAAAACTCAACAAAGATGCAGAACAACTAAACAGTAGAATCCACCAACTTGACTTTATAGACATCTGCAGAGCACTTCACCCAACAACAGCAAAATATACATGCTTTTCTAGTTAAGATAAAACATTCTCCAGGATAGGCCATATGTTAGGCCATAAATTGAGCCTCAATAAATATAAAAACATTGAAATACTGCAGAGTATCTTCTCATATCACAATGCCATAAAATTAGAACTCAACCATCGGAAGATAAATGGAAAAAGGGCATACACGTGGAAACTGAATAACACAGTCCTTAAAAAGCCAATGAGTAATAGAAGAAACAAGAAATGAAATTAAAAAATTTCTGAATCAAACAAAAATGAAAACACAATATACCAAAATCTTTGGGACACAGCAAAAGCAGTGGTTGGTGGCTAATTTATAGCATTAAATGCACACATCAAAAAGAAGAAAGAGCCAAGATCAACACCTTAACCCAACATTTCCAACGATTAGAAAAAGAACAGCAAAAACCTACAGTCACTAGAAGAAAAGAAAAAAATAAAGATTAGAGCAGATATCAATGAAACAGAAATTAGAAAGACAATAGAAAAAATCAACAAGACTAGAAGTTGGTTTTTTGAAAAGATTAACAAAATGGAGAAACCACTGGCAAATTTAACAAAGGAAAAGAGGAAGAGGATACAAGGTACACAAATAAGAAACAAAATGGGCAACATCATAACAGAACCAACTGAAATAAACAGGATAATAGCAAGATACTATGAAGAACTTTATTCCAATAAATTTGAAAATCTAGAAGAAATGGACAGATTTCTAGAAACATACTACTTAACTAAATTAACAGAAACTGAAGTGGAAAATTTGAACAGACCCATATCAGAAGAAGAAATTGAACAGGTCATAAAAAATTACCAACAAAGTTTCACTGGAGAATTCTACCAAATGTCCAGAGAACTGATATCAATTTTACTCAGACTATTCCATAACAAAGTAAAGGATGGACCCTTCCAAATTCATTTTATGAAACAAGCATGACCCCTTGATACCAAAACCAGGCAAAAGCATCACTAAAAAGGAAAACTACAGACCAATATCTGTCATTAATATAGATGTAAAAATCTTCAACAAAATCCTAACCAATAGACCCAACAACATAACAAAAAAATAATACATTATGACCAAGTGAGGTTCATACCAGGTATTCAAGGATGGTTCAACATTAGAAAAACAATCAACATCATCTATCTCGTAAATAAAACAAAAGAACTACATGATCATATCAATTGATGCAGAAAAGGTGTTTGATAAAATCCAACACCCATTCCTGATAAAAACTCTCAGCAATAAAAGCTCTCAGAAGTAAAAATAAAAATAAAAATTCCTCAACATAATAAAGGGCATATATGCAAAACCAACAGCCAACATTATTCTCAATGGAGAGAGACTAAAACCATTCCCCTTGCAAACAGGAACCAGACAAGAATGCCCTCTATCACCACTTCTATTAAATGTTGTATTGGAAGTCCTAGCCAAGGCAATAAGGCAAGAAAGGGAAATTAAAGGCATCCAAATTGGTTGGGAAGAAGCAAAACTATCTCTATTTGCTGATGATACCATCCTATACATAGATAACCCAAGAGACTCAGAAAAACACAAACAAACAAACTACTGGAACTAATTGAGAGATTTAGCATAGTGGCAGGATACAAGATCAACATACAAAATCCAGTTGGATTCCTCTGTACCAGGAAAGAGATTGCTGAAAAGAAAATAAGGAAATCAAAACTATTTATAATAGTTACCAAAAAATAAAATGCTTGGGAATAAATCTTACCAGGGACACAAAAGACCTGTACAAAGAAAACTACAAAACACTACTTCAAGAAACCATAAGAGATCTACATAAATCAAAGAACATACCATGCTTGTAGATTGGAAGACTGAACATTGTGAAAATGTCAGTACTACCCAAAGCAGTCTACACATTCAGTGCAATCCCAATCCAGATCCCATTTTTTGGCCAATTAATTATTATTTTTTTTAATCAGAAACATCTGAGTTGCCCATACCACAAACATTTTCAAGGTTCTATACCAATCTCCATGGCTAAACAGTTCAACAAAACTTGAAGCATCATTTTAAATGTGAAAAGTCTTACAAAATTAACTTACAAAAACATCCCTATCAAGTCTGTAGTTTGGCATTTACTATACAGTTAGTCAAAGCTGAAGCTGAAATTCTGATTTCTTTTGTTTTTAAATCCAAGTTTACATTATTCATACAGATTCAACATTGTTAAGGATATGCACAATAACAGCATCCATGCAATGCATTTTTTTTTTTTTTTTAATTTAAGCAACATGAAAGAGAAGACCTAAGTAATGAACAGAACATTTTGGTTTATCATTGAAGCTCAAGATTGCTAGCTGACTGGAGAAAAATTAATTCTAAGAATTTTAAATATGATTGTTTTAGTCAGTCAGCAAAGGGTGCATATGATATCTAAACCACTGCTAAGGTAGAAACTGCTGGCTGGTTGCTTTGATACATGTAGTGCTTACCAACCACGATGTTGTTGTTATTTACCATCGAGTCAGCCCCGACTCATAGCGACCCCTCCTTGGGTTTCCGAGGCAGTATCACTGCAGAAGTAGATTGCCCAGCCTTCCTTCTGAGAAGTGGCTGGTGGATTTGAACCACCAGCCTTCTGGTTAGCAGAACCAGTGTCTTAGCCTAATAATGGTGTTTTACAAACAAAGGGTATAGAAGAACCAGTCACTAACTCTATATGGAAAGGAAAGAGACCTTGGATAAGCAAAGCCCTATTGAAGAAGAAGATCAAAGTAGGAGGTCTCCACTCCCAAATCTCACAACCTACTATATGGCCATAGTAGTCAAAACAGCTTGGTATTGGTACAATGACAAGACACCTAGAGCAGCGGAATAGAATTGAGAACCCAGAAATAGATCTATTGACCTATGCTCAGCTGATCTTTGACAAAGGGCTGAATGAACTCCATTAAATGAGGGAAGAGATTATCTTTTTAACAAATGGTGCTTGCAAACCTGGATTTTCGCAGAAAAATGAAACAAGATCTGTACCTCACACCATATACAAACACTAACTCCAGGTGGTTCAAAGACTTAAATGTGAAACCTAAAACTATAAAGTTCCTTGAGGAAAAAATAGGGGCAAATTTAGGGGCCTTAATTTATGGCATAAATAGACTGTCAGGCATAAATGAAAATGCACAAACAGCAGAAAATAAACTAGATGAATGGGACCTTCTAAAAATTAAATTTTTATGTGCTTTCGAAGACTATTCCAAAAAAGTAAAAAGAGAACCTACAGATTGGGAAAAAATATTTGGCAATGACATATGACAAGGGACTTATTTTTAAAATTTATAGAAAACTCCAACACCTCAACAACAAAAAGACAATCCAGTTAATAAATGGGCAGAAGATATGAATAGATATTTCACCAAAGAGGATATCCAGGTGGCCAACAAACACATGAAGAAATATTCACAATCATCAGCCATTAAACTAACTCACTGACATTGAGTTGGATCCAACTCATAGCAACCCCTCCTTGGGTTTCTGAGGTGGTATCACTACGGAAGTAAATTGCCCAGTCTTCCTTTTAAGGAGTGGCTTGTGGGTTTGAACCGCCTGCCTTCTGGTTAGCAGTCAAATGCCTTAGGCACTATGCCATCAGAGCCATTGTTGTTGTTGCTATGTGCCATCAAGTCAGATGCTTTGTTAACTGTGCCCCAGGTTTAAATATTGAATGCAATAAAATATTTGTTCTCTGGGAATTCAGAGTTTAATTGGGCAGGAAAGGTAAATAATTAATTCATTATTAAATGATGTGATAAGTACTAAACAGTAATGTTTGGATCTTCTGTGAAAGAAAAAAAGGAGTAGCTTATTTAGCACATGAGTACTCAGGAAAGACTCACGAGCACAGCAATTGGTAAAGTAGTGTTCTTTGCCCCTTACCTTTATTGTGAATGTAAAGGGGTAGAGGAGGACTGTGGGTACACATTCCAGGAAGAGGACTATTTTGTTATATTTATGGAGCACAAAGAAGTTAAAAAAGGCTAGAATACAAAGTCTTAGGGGAGAGGAGTGGGAGAATACCCTTGAAAGATAGATGGATTATGAACTGTCTTGAATGACATGTTTAGGAGTTTGAGTTTTATCACAGTAGTTAATGAGTTTTCTATTACACTCTGAGATTGGAAGTACAGGGAAAAGTAAAGGTACAGATGCAATATATGAGTCATTCATGTCTGAGTGATAGGGTTGGTATACTTCTTTTTGACAGAATGACTGAAAAAGGGCTGATTAATAGAAAAATTGAAAAAAAAAAGTGTATGTAAAATTTATTTTATAATTAGTGCAATGCAGCCAAAATTCCAAAGAAATGTAATGTTCTTCTGTAGGTGAAGTTCCTGGACTCTATACTCTTGAAGAATTAGAACCCTTGCTCTTGCCTCTTAAAGATCAAGCTTCACAAGATGGGTTTTTTGGACCAGTCTTCAATTACTTCACATACAGTAAGTAAACGATATTCATTATCAATTTGCTTTTTTCCTCGTTAGAATGCGAAACTCAGAAAACCAAGTTTACTGCTATGGAGTTGACCCATTGAGTTTCCAAGGTTTTAATCTTTATGGAAGTAGATTGCCTCATTTTTCTTCTGCAGAGCAGCTGGTGGTTTTGAACCAGCCAAATGCCTTAACCACTACACCATCATAACTCCTTATCCTCAGAATGTGAAGACATCTTAACTCTTGGGTCTATTTGGTAATATATACTTTATTTCTTTTTCCTACAATTCTTAAAAAGTAATACATAACTACATAGCTAGTTTATAGGCTAACCGATAATAAAAACATCATAGCAAAAATTTTAGCAAAGAGAAGGTTGAAAATATGGTAAAAATATGGTAATGGATTTTAGAATATTTAACTTGCTGCCTTTGTTTTCATATGACAAAGTGGTGGTGCAATGGTTAAAGCATTGAACTGCTAAACAAAAGGTTGGCAATTTGAACCTTCCAGCCGCTCCATGGGAAACAGATGAGACAGTCAGCTTCTGTAAAGATTTACAGCCTTGGAGACTCTCGCCTTCAGTTTTACTCTGTGCTAGGTCACTCTCATAGCATAATGCCTAAGGCATTTGACTGGTAACCAGAAGACTGGCGGTTCAAACCCACCAGCCACTCCTCAGAAGGAAGATGGGGCAGTCTACTTCCATAGTGATACTGCCTCGGAAACCCAAGGAGGGGTCGCTATGAGTTGAGTCCGACTCAACGGCACATAACAACAACAACAACAACAGGTCACTATGAGTTGGAATCGACACAAAGACAGTGTCGATTTGTTTTTTCTGTAAGGTTCCAGTATCTCCTTTCTTAAAGAATGACTGAACTTTTTCAATTCTACCAGACTTGTAGTTTTTTTTCTTTCTTTTTTTTCTGGAAACTTTTATTATTACAGAAGCAGTTTTATATATGCACTATTGAAATCTAAAATACAGAGATGTGAAGAATAAGGCAATAATAATACCAGAGGTTATTACATTTAGCTGCTTCGTGAGTATCTTTCTGAATTTGTTTTATTAGAATACACACACCTACACACGTATTTTTTTTTTTTAACAAAAATAAAAATCATGCCTTTATATATAACTTGCTTTTTTTTAGTTAACAATTTCTACCATTTCATTTCAAAAAATGTTAACCTTCTGAAATAAAGACTATGGATATCCTCAGTCTGACTCTATTCTTGTAATTTTCCATGATTATAACTTTTTTTTTTTTTTGTAGGAATCCAACAAAACTTGCACATTGTCTTGATAATGGATTCTGCAAATTTAAACTTCATAATTAACTGTGAGAGTAATCCAGCTTTGCATAAGAAATGCCAGGTGTTGTGGATGGAGAGTTGGTCAGATAGCAGTATGAAGAAAGTAAGTTTAGAATTTAAATATAGAAATGAAAAAATAAGCTCCTTTTCTTTTTGAAGTTAGTGAATTCTCAAAACTTTTATTTGGTATTTACTATAACATTAGCTTAATTGTGACATTGAATGTCTCTAGTCTGTTTGAAAATAATTTTGTTTCCTTCTCACTCTTTTGTGATAGTTTAGTTGGAGGTAGAATTTTAGGTTGAGGATTATGTTTTTAATTAAGAACTACAGAGATATTCACACATTTAAAAATTTTATGCCTTTAATTAATGAACCCATAGGCTAGTGTATAATAAAATGTATCACATCAAGAGTTTTAGCAACTTTAAAATTTTTTACATTTAAAACTTCAAAAAAATTGTTTTTAAATCTATCATTGCTAGATAGATTTAATAGATAGGTAATTGTTTGGAGGAGGGTGAGTCTGAAGTGTGAAATCATAGCATCCTCTTAACTGAAAGCCTCTTATGTTGCTTTTTGAATAAATAATAATTTCCAACATTATCTTTTTGAAATCCATATCAATCATTCATTTCTTTGTTCCTCTTTTTAATAATAGAAGTAAAGGCCTACGCCTATAATGGTTTGGTGGAAGGAGTGTAATTTGGGATTTTGAAGATTTTATTCATGAGAATGAATTTTTAGATAAAGGAAAAGAAAGGTATTCTAGCCCAAGGAAGCCACGTGAACAAGAGGCATTCATTAAAGAATAATTAATACTATATATATATATATATATATATATATATATATGTTGTTGTTGTTGTTGTTGTTTGCCGTCGAGTCGGCCCCGACTCAT